GTTCAAACCCACCAGCCACTCCTCGGAAGGAAGGTTAGGCAATCTACTTCCATAGTGATACTGCCTCGGCAACCCAAGGAGGGGTCGCTATGAGTCAGTTCCAACTCGATGGCAAATAACAACAACAACATATATATAATAAATATGTATACAACACAAAAAGAACAAGTATTTTAACATCTTTTTAAAGTAACAGAACAATCATTATCTTACTAAAGCATGAATGTATAGGGCTGGTCGTTTCACATTATAATCTCAATTTAATCTTCACAATAACCTAGCAAATGGAAGTAATCACATTTTAAACCTGTGGACATTAAGGGCCCAAGTGGTTAAGTGCCTTACATGTTTCACAACAGTAGGAACCATGTATTATTTTTCTAGTATATTATTTGTGCCTAATGATGCCTGGTATTTGCTGGACATGCAAGAAATATTGGAGGGATGGATTGATGGTACTGCTTAGGTAAGGCAAGTAAATAGTGTAATCTCTCTAACTCCGAAGTCAGAAACACTTTAAAAACTTCAAAGTATCTAGCTAACATCCTTTGAAAAATAAAATGTAAAATATTGTTGTTGTTGTTGTTGTTATGTGCCGTCGAGTCAGCCCTGACTCATAGCAACCCCTCCTTGAGTTTCCGAGGCAGTATCACTACGGAAGTAGGATTGCCCAACCTTCCTTCTGAGGAGTGGCTGCTGGGTTGGAACCGCCAGCTGTCTGGTTAGCAGGCAAGTGTCTTAGCCACTATGCTACCAGAGCTCCCAAAAATATTAGCCCATTCAAATATTTGAAACCTTATTACATGCAAAGGAGTCTGCAAGATATCATGTTACAACTGTGTACAAAGTATGTCACTGCCTTTTACTGGCTTGCTTTATTCAAATATTTAATGTATGTTAACTATACGAAACAGGAATAAAATAAAGAAGTCACTACAATTTAGGGTGTTTTGTAAGCTGTAAAGAAGTATTTGAGTAAATAAACATAGAACTGGATTTATTTATGAGAGCCAGGGATGGATAGAAAGAAAATTGTGAATCAATGTTTTTTTTTTCTTTTTAAAGCCCCACTCTGGCCCACTGACCAGAATCCTTGAAGTACCTATATGCTGACCACTATGTCACTCCTCCTCCTCATTTCCCTCCGATTGAAACAGCAGAAGTTAAAAAGTTAAAAAGTTTAAAAAGTTAAAAAGACATGGATTTTGGCCCTGAGCCTGTCACTAAATTGCTATGTGATATTTGACAGGTAACTTTCCCTTTGTGATTTTCAATTACTTAAATTTAGTTCGGGGTTCAATTAGACCAGTATTTCCCAACTTTGCCTGTTCATAAAAATGTTGTTATTGCTGTGCCTTCAAGTCTATTCCAACTCACAACGACTGGTTTTCCTAAGCTATCATCTGTACGGAAGCAGATCACCAGGCCTTTCCTCCCGCACAGCCGCTGGTAGGTTTGAACCAGTGACCTTTCAGCTAGGCTCCTTGATTATACAAATTATCTGAGTCAATAATTTGAGTCCCTTGTTAAAAATAGAGATTCTTGAGCCTCGTCCCAGACATACTTCTGGAGAGGACGAAGGCTAAATTTAAAAATCTGTTTATTTTATTCATTTTATACAGTTTCAGTATTACCTTAAGTTTAAGCCATACATGTTTCTAAAATGATCAGTCACTAAAATAAGCTGAAATGTCACTTCTAAGAAATACACCCACTCCTCACTAATCGACATAGTTAGGTTCCAAAAACCAGGTATCCAAAGACAAAATCTGCATTATGTTAGGAAGGGGAGGATGTAGAGATAGCGCCAAAGCCTGGACCTTGGAATTGCTGTGCCCCTGGCACCATTAAGTCTGGACCCCAAGGCGTGCCATCAGGGCCAGCACTGGAATAGACCTGTAGCCTGGCGGCTGGACTAGAGACACAATTGGTGGCAAATGGCTGTGCTGGGAGTCAAGATAGTCACCAGGGCTTGCTGTTCATGCTAATGCTCCCTATAGCTGCCTCCTCTGCAGCCACAGCTCCCTGCTGCCACCCTACAGGCCCAAAGAAATGAGTCACTAGCTGCTGGCCTTGGAAGGCTTGGAATATGAGGTCAAATGCTAGAGACTAACAGCTACTCAGAAGAGGAACTCAGCAGCCCAGATCACAGAGGAGGAGGAGACTGCCAGCTTCTGCTATAACCTCCAGGCCCTGAATTACCTCCCAGTATCCTTCCCACTACAAGACTTGGTCCGTCAGGGCACTGGAGTAGAGGGAGCAGCATCAGCAATCTCCTCTACCCACTCCCTCTTGGGGCCCTCCAGCCACATGCTGGCCATTCTCAAAATCCACCTCTTTCACACGAAAAGTACAAGTGACTCTAGTGGTTGAAATGGGATAAGTCAAAGACATGGAGAGCTGGCTGCTTCAGCTGCTAGCCTGACAGACATGGATGGCTCTACAGGCCAGGAGCCGGAATGAGGAAGAAACTCAAGTTAATGCACAAAATGATTCAGAGAGGAGATTTTTTATTGTTGTCCAAAATGCAAAACTCTAGATAACAAAGGAGTCAATGAATAAGGAGTAGGTGTACCCTGAAAAGGCTTTACGGTAGTAAAGTGATTTCTAGTAAGCCATCTGGGCTTTTTTGATTTACTTCCTTATTTTCTCAGATTCTAGAGGGTTAATGTCAAGTAAGTAGATATTCCTTAAAAATAAAAAAAAAAAAAAAGTACATAAGAAAATGCTTCCAGCATCTTTATTTTTAAAAATTATAACTAAGTAAATAAATAAGTAAACTATTTTCATTTTAAAAGAATCTTCCATTAAAATAATGTAATAAAATGCTCTTACCTAATCGTAGTTCTCCAAAATTGCCACATCCAATTTTTTTTCCAACTCTGAAGTTAGGTCCAACCATTAAAACTCCAGAGGATGAAGATCCAGTTCCTCGAGTGTTGTGCCCCGATCGACCAGTAGGCCGTGCCATTCTATCATCTGATTTATCTTTGTCTTTCTTTTTATTATCCATATCAAGTTTTCGGTACTCCACTTTGAATTCTTTAATCAAGACAAGCACACCGAAATAGGGTATTGTGAGAAAAGGTACATCACTAGGTAACTGTACCAGGTGGATAATGTTAACATTCAAATTGTAGAAGGTAGTCAACTAATTGGAGCGTGTTCATCCCATTCGTAAAATGATTTTTCTCAGTTGTCTTTTCAGCAAAACATGTCTTCAAGATTATCTTTTCAATGATGTAAGCTGATATTGATAGCTAGAATATTAAGAAAAGAAAATCAGTTAACTAAGAGAATTTAAAAAACATATGTTATATACAGGCAGCCAACAAACACATGAGAAAATGCTGACAATTATTAGCCATTAAAACAAAACCAAAATCACTGCTGTTGAGTCGGATCCAACTCATAGCAACCCCTCCTTGGGTTTCCGGGGCAGTATCACTATGGAAGTAGATTGCCCAATCTTCCTTCCAAGGAGTGGCTAGTGGGTTTGAACAGCCAGCCTTCTGGTTAGCAAATGCCTTAAGCACTACACCCACCAGAGCTCCTCATTAGCCATTAGAGGGACACAAATCAAAACAATGAGATACCATCTCCCCTCAAAACAATAGTAAAGTTCAATGAAGCACGAAGTAACAAATTCTGGCGAAGGTGTGGAAAGACTCTCATACACTGCTGGGGTGACTGTAAAATGGTACAGCCACTGCAGAAAATGGTATGGCATTTCCTTAAAAAAAAAAAAAAAAATGGATATAGAAATACTATTTAATCCAGCAATTCCACTAATAGGAATATATCCTAAAGAGGTGAGATCCAGGATGCAAACAGACACATGCGCACCCATGTTTACCGCAGCACAATTCACTATGGCAAAGAGATGGCAAAAACCGAAGTGCCCATCAACAGATGAACAGATAACCACACTATGGTACATTCACACAATGGAATACTATGCAACACTGAAGAATGAAGAATCTGTGAATCACCTCACAATGAACTTGGAGGATTATGGTGAGTAAAATCAGTCAATCACAGAAGGACAAATATTATATGAGTCCATCATTATAGAAAGTCAAGGAAAGGTTTACTGAGGGAAGAAAATTAACTTTGTTACTTATCAGGGATGGGAGGGAAGGAGAGGGAAATTTCCTGACTAGTTAAGAGTCATGTGTTGATTTGGGTGAAGGAATAGGCAATATAACAAAAGTGTGTGACCAGCACAATAACAATAGGGAAAAGGAGGACACAGAAATCTGCACCAAAGACACAGGTAACAGAGGCAAATACTGTTATATACACAATACTGCATTACCAGTAACAACAAACAATAGTCTACGGGTAAATGCATAGACAGGTGAGAACTTCAGATGTGGGTAAGTGAACAGGAATATATATACCCATGACCATAGACAAATTTGGCTGATGATTTTCTTACACATGAATTTGTCCTACAAAAATATCCATATATGTTATACAACAGGGCATAGGCTGGAGTAGTTTCTCAGTGACAACCAAGTACCTTTAGGGAGTGAGTCACAGGGCCTCTGGCCTCAGGACCATGGTCTCAGGGAACATCAAGTTCAACTGGCACAACACAGTACATAAAAATCTCTTCTACATCCTAATTTGGTGAGTAGCAACTGGGGTCATGAAAGATTTCGAGTGGCCATCTAAAATGCAGCTATTGGTCTCCCCTCGTCTGGAGCAAAGAAGAGTGAAGAAAATCAAAGTCATATGGAAACAATTAGTCTAAATGTATGATGGACCACAGGAACTACAGCCTTCATGACCTTGAGAGCAGAAATAGATGGTGCCCAGCTACCAATGCCAACCACTCAAAAAGGGATCAGAATTGGAGAACTTGTCTAGAGTGCGAGTAAAAATGTGTAATACAATTCAAACACAAAAATGACCAGAATTACTAATCAGATAGAGACTGGTGGAACCCCAGACTATGGCCCCAGATCATCCTTCAGGCCTGGAACTGAACTCAATTCCCTGGATTAGCTTTCAGCCAAACAGCAAAAGGCCTACAAGCAGAAGACTTAACCCTGGGTGATAACACCCATTCGATCAATCAACCAAATGTGCATAAACTGCTGAGAGTAAAACAAATTGGCTTTGTAAATTTGCACCCAAATCGCAATAAAAAATTTTAAGAAAACAAAGTAGCCCCAAACAATATGCAAATGAATGGACATGACTCTGTTCCAATAAAACTTCAGTTGCAAAAATAAAAATAAACATATGGTTTGGAAAATCTGGTAACATGAATTTAGGCAACAAATTATTGCTTTTCATGGATGTCGACTGAAATCAAGCCACAATAGACTCTTAAACTACTCTGTACTCCTGCACTTTAACATGAAACAGATCACAAAAATCAAATAAAATAAAGAAACTAAATCAAGGACTTTGTTACTCCTTGTTATGGATTGAACTGTGTCCCCTCCCAAAATATGTGATTAAATTCTAACTCCTATCCCTGAGGATGTACTCTTGTTTGAAAATAGGGTTTTCTGTTATGTTAATTAGATCACACCAGAGTACAGGGAGTTCTAAGTCTAAATACTTCTGAATTTAAGAATAGTAGATCAGATACAGAGACGCATCCTTGCCAGCCTCACAATCATTGCCGCACTTGACTCCACTGTTGCCGCTACGGTATCAATCAATTTCGTTGAGGGTCTTCTGCTAGACTCCAGGCTAACTTAATTTAAATTTCAAAAAAACTCATGAAGCACAAAATATTAGCTACCAGGCCAAAGACACTTGATAATCTCAAATCAGTTGATCTCATTTCAAGGAGGGGGGCACACGGACAGGGCTCAATGAATCATGTTAGAAATAGCCAATGGTTGATCTACTCTTCTCCCTCAGTCTGGGTTTTTCTTGTTTTTGATTTTAAGAATCAGAACAGTCTTCCTATACTCATATAAAATAAATGCTCAGAATAAACCTCATGTTTCAATTTCTTTAAGTTTTGGTTATTTTTAAAACAGAACACAGCTAATTTTAATAAGAAATTTTAATACTAGAGTATTAATGATATTTTCATCCTAAGAAAAACTTCTTATTCAAGCAATTCATTATAAAAGCCTTATTTATTTCTTATTGGTTAATCCTGAACTTAATCTTGAAAACAAAAATCTACACACTAACAGTGAAAAAACACTGAGTAATATATATTTTAATAAAATATGTGTAACCTCACGTACAGAGAAAACACAAAAGAGAGAAAACTAAAAAGGAGAAAACAAATGGCAAGAAACACCACGGTAATTTGGAAAATGTAATACTATTATATCCATCCTTCACAAATTGATCAATAGAATCAACACAATCCCAAACAAAATGTCAAGCTTTTTAACAACAAAAAGACAAAACAAGTTGAAAAGCTGGTTATATAATATACACGGAAATATAAAGAATCTAAACAATCTATGAAAGAAAAACGAAGACAAAGGACATATACTGCTGGATTGCAAGACAAGTGAATAACTAAGATAGCATGGAAGTAGGGGTTCTGGTGGGAGCTCTGGTAGCGTAGTGCCTAAGGCACTTGACTGCTAACCAGAAGGCTGTGGTTCAAACCCACCAGCCACTCCTCGGAAGGAAGATGGGGCAATCTACTCTCGTAGTGATACTGCCTCGGAAACCCAAGGAGGGGTTGCTATGAGTTGGGTCCAATTCAAGGACATATAACAACAACAACAAAACAGGGGATCTGGCAAGATCGTAGAATAGACAGACAAGCTACACAGATCCTCTGCACCAAAGCAATGAGAAACAATTCAAACTGATACAGAAGATGATCCTGGAACCCTGAGCTTTGACGGGAAGGATAAAGAAGTGAATTAAATACCAACTAGTAGAAGAACCTGAATGAAACAGTAAGTATGGATACAAATGGAGATGCGATGAACAGCTGTCCTGAGGACACAGCCATTTTGAAAATTTCCCAATACTAACTTAAGAATGGGAGCTCTGGTAGCGTAGTGCCTAAGGCACTTTACTGCTAACCAGAAGGCTGGCAGTTCAAACCCACCAGCCACCCTTGGAAGAAAGGTTGGGCAATCTACTTCCGCAGTGACACTGCCTCAGAAACCCAAGGAGGGGTCGCTATGAGTTGGGTCCAACTCGAGGGCATATAACAACAACAACCTAAGAATTGGCTCTGCTCACCAAGGCTACATGGGCAAGGACTACATTGGCACCTGATGCCCAGAAGGGAGAACAGCAAGGGGACAGGTGGATCTATGGACTGCTAGTGGCTGTCCTGAGGCAGCAGCCATTTTGGATGCTTGCAACCAACTGGTGTAGCCGTTTTGAGTATCCACATGTGGCAGTTCTTCCTTGGACTATGATCTAAGAATGGGCTTCACCTGCGGAGGACAGAGTAGGCAACCGCACTGGAGACTGATGAGTAGAGACATGCAATACTCCTCTTGTTTCTCTTGTGCCCTGGGCCTTCTTGGTGGACAGGAGGGTGGCCATCCTTCTGCTTCCACCCAACTCAAGACCTGCAGGGATTCCGTCCTGGTCTGTGCCCTGGTAAAGCCTGTGTCATGCCTTGCCCCCACAGTTTTAGGTTTGTTTTTAAATTATTCTTTTTATCTTCATCCTTTTTTCCTTTTTTTAATCCCCCTCTTTCCTGTACCTGCTTCTTGTTTTTGTTTTTTTCCTTTTTGCTTCTCTTTTCCTGGCTGCATTCACTTTTCTTTCTTTTGGTTCTTCCCATCCTTTGTTTGTTTTTTGTAGTTTCCCTATTTTTTTACTTTTGCTATCTCCTCTCATTTCTCCCTCCCGAGAAATTTTTTCCCCTCTCATTTTTTCTTATCTTTCTTTTATCCTTTTTTAGCATATTGTGAAATTTTATTTCTAATTTATTGCCTTTCTTTTCAGTTTCCCTTGTGTTTGTTCTTATCTGTTTATGTTGTAACTTTGAGTTTTTTGTTCTCTTGTATTTTTGGTGGGTTTTTAATTCTCTTTCTCTCAGTGGGAGATAGCAACTGTTCCCACACAACCCAAACATTCCTGCACCTCCTGCAGACTCATCCAGAGTGAGGGCCACCACTTACTTTTGCACCAACAGACCAACAACAGGTGGCCAATACCACCTCAAATCATCCTCAACTGCTCTTTGTGAATAGCTAACAGAGATCTGTGCACACATTCTCATTCTCCATCACACCAACCAGGAGACAGATGGTGAGTGCTTAACTGTAAACAACTAGCGAATAAAGGAACACAGTACCCTGTTCACACAGATACAATCAAAACAAAATAAAGCAGGAAAAAAATCCTGCATGAATCACACCAATATACAACCACAAATTAAACATAAATATACCACCACCACAATGTCTCAAAGACAAAAGACCATCACAGTCCACACAAGAAAGCAAGATAAAGTAGAAACAAGGAACCAGGACACAAACCCAGAAAACAATACTGAGGAAGAAAGAGCATTGGAACTCCCTGATAAAGAATTGAAGAGAATTATATTTGGGTATCTTCAACAGATTAAGAGACTGATCAAGGAAAACAATGACAAGATCAAGAAAAACACTGATAGAATTAAGAAAAAGCCAGACAAAACTCTGTAAATTTAGGAAAACAATACAAGAATAAATTGACAAAGTAAACAAAAAATTAGAAATGATACAAAAACAATAAACAGAAATCAAGAAGATTAATGGGAAGATTTCAGAAATAGATAACACACTGAATGGACAAAGGAGTAGAATCAAATCAATGGAAGACAGAATTAATTAGATTGAAGACAAATACCACAGTACTACTTTGTTAAGGGATCAATCAGACAGAAGATCAAAGCATAACAAATAAAGCCTAAGATTCATGTGGGATACCATCAAGAGGTATAGCCTACATGTAATCAGAAGTCCAGAACAGGAAGAGACAGTAAGACCACATTGTTGAAGCTCTGTTCAAAGAGAATTTCCCTAATAAGATGAAAAATGAGAATATATCCACTCAAGAAGTCCAACAAAACCCAAACAGGGTATATCCCAAAAGATAATCACCAAGACCTATCATCATCAAACTCACGAAAACAAAAGACAAAGAAAGAAAGAATCCTGAAAGCAGCATGGGAAAAACAAAAAGTTACCTACAGAGGGCTACCAATAAGACTAACCTCTGATTTGTCAGCAGAAACCATGCAAGAGATTCTAAAAGACTTTACAAAAGATTCTAAAAGGAGTCCATCAGATAAAAAAACAACAGCCAATGATTAACACACATGACGACATAACCCAGAAACCAACCCAGTTTTAGAAGTATCCACAGTAAAATAAGCTTACAAGACTATAAACTGGGAACCAGAGACATCAATTGGTAAATGAGAACAAGAAACCAAAAAGAAGTAATAAATAGTGCAGTTACAGAGCTTCTAAATGGTGAGGAAGTCAAGACAATTGAGAGACAGAAGAGGTGGTTTTAAACTTGGGGAAAAAAATTATAAATTACAGGGTAACGTCAAAGGAAAATAATAAACCTTTGCATCAAAATAAAAAAGAAGACAAGCATAAATACTTAGCAAATACTAAAACAATAGTAATAAAGGAGATGATAACAAGACTCATAAACAGAGTGAGCTGAGCATAGAAAATTATACGGAACAGAAAAATCAGCAACAACACAAAAAACACATAAAAAAATGACATCCATAAATTAATACTTGTCAATAATTACACTAAACATAAATGGATTAAATGTACCACTCAAGAGACAGATAGCTACAGACTGGATAAGAAAACATGACCTATCAATATGCTGTTTACAGAAGACTCATTTTAGACACAAAGACAAAAAAGAGACTAAAAATCAAAGGTTGGAAAAAGATATACCAAGCAAATGGAAACCAAAAGAGAGCAGGAATGGCAATATTAATTGTTGATAAAAACACACTTAGAGACAAAAACTATCATAAAAGAAAAGGAAGGACATTATATAATGATTAAAGGATCACTTGAACAAGAGGACATAATCATAATAAATATCTACACACCCACTGAAAGAGCCCCAAAATACATAAAAAGACTTTAACAAAATTGAAAAGACAAATATATGACTCCACAATAATAGGAGTCTTTAATACATCATTTTCAATAAAAGATAGAACAAATGGAAAGAAACCCAATGAAGATGCAGAAGAATAAACAGTATGATCAACTAACTTGACCTTATAGATATCTACAGAGCACTTCAACAACAGTATAATATACATTCTTTTCCAGTGCACATGGAACATTCTCCAGGATAGACCATATGTTAGGCCACAAAGTAAGCCTCAATAAATCTAAAAATATTGAGATACTGTAAATCATCTTCTCAGATCACAATGATAGAAAATTAGAAATCAACACTAGGAAGACCAACAGAAAAAGAGCAAATCCATGGAAACTGAAAAATACTCTCCTTAAAAACGACTGGGTAACAGAAGAAATAAAAATGCAACTGAAAAATTCCTTGAATCAAATGAAAATAACACATCATACCAAAATATGTGGGACATAGCAAAAGCGCTGATCACAGAGCAGTTTACAGCAATAGATGAGCTCACCAAAAAAGAAGAAAGAGACAAAATCAACACCTTAACCCAACATCTCCAAGAATTAGAAAAAGAACAGCGAAAAAAGCCTACAGTCACCAGAAGAAAAGAAGTAATAAGGATTCGAGCAGAAATAAATGAATCAGAAAACAGAAAATATCAACCAGAGGAGAAGCTGGTTCTTTGAAAAGATTAATAAAATCGACAAACCACCAGCAAACTTAACAAAGGAAAAGGAGAAGATGCAAATAATACAAATACAAAGTGAAAGGGGTGATGCCACAACAGAAATAAAAATAATATCAGAACTGTACTCCAACAAATTTGAAAACCCAGAAGAAATGGACAGATTTCTAGAAACACACAATTTACTTAAACTAAAGCAGACTGAGGTAGAAAATATGAACAGACCTATAACAAAAGAAGAAATTAAACAAGTCATAATATATATA